CCCCCCCCCCCCACTAAATACAGCAAACGGTCGAGGAAGAAAACCAGTGCTTTCATCGGGAAATGCAGATATGTATGTTGTTCTCCCTATTCCACCCCCCGTTTTTTTTAATTACTGTAGCCACTGGACAAAATTCGGTCTTTGGTCCAGGCTTGTGCTCACACATGCCCACAACTCAGCAGCAGCTATTAATTTGGAGGGAGATGGAGTGAAGATAGTGGATGAGATACAAGAAAACATTCCAATTATAAAATGCCCCTTTTAATTCTCCACTGTTTTTTTTTTTAATCAAAACAGGGATATTAAATTTGAAGCAAACTTGTTACAGCTCATCTTACTGAGGGCCTGATTTGTTTTGTTTTGAGTTTGTGTTTGTAGGCCTTTTGTTTCTTCCTCTTGTTTTTTGACCTTTCTGGAGTTACTGCACAGCTCATTAGTCCCTTTAAGTTCGCGGTGAACTGAGGAGAGACAGAGATAGTAAGACTCAAATTTGGCTGATTAAGGTTTGGAGGATTTGAGGACAAGAATGAGTTCTCTATGATTCAAATGCAAAACCTGGGGGAATTTTATTTAAGATGATTCTGTAGGGCATGGATCCTCTTCTCAGAGGACTTTTCCAGCTTTAATGTTAACATTTCCTGAGCGCTCATTCCCTTGTCAGCCTTTCACTCCGCTGAACATCAGTCACCCGCCTAATTGCCAAATCTAATGGAAAAATTTAATCCCCATTTTGTCATCCCCTTTGTGGCATTTGCCAATTTTGACCTCCCTTTCCTTCTTAGAACTTTCCTCCCTTTTTTGTTGTTGCTGTTGTTGATAGTCATCCCACTTTTGTGGAGGTCTTGAAACAGGGCTGAGTGATAGCTGGCAGGATTGTGGCTCTTGTTAAACTAGGATTCAGGATCTTACCCAAGGACGTATTCTTTAACTTTCTGAGGAGATAGTGGCAGTAAAAGAACCTTCATCTAGTTTCTGTTGGTCACCAGTAGGGTCTTGACCTCAATTTTATCATGCATCCAGAGCTGAACAGTGGACTGACTCATGACAACCAGCTTTTGTGTGACTAGCATTTAAATCAGGATGAAATTTACTGTGATAGTATAACCATGACCTCTGTTTAGGATAAGCACTTATGAGGATCCAGGTACCTGGTGAAGTATCCCCACCTTCAAACCAGAATGTGTCTTACTGATGGCTGCCAAAGTCAGTGAATTTACCTCTGTCCCGTCCTGAATAAATGCAGAAAAATCTCTTCTCTGCCTCAACCCCATGTGGTTAATGCATTCTTTCTTCAGTGTATAGTGCAATTTGTTTTAAGCTTTCTTGGCTGTAGTCACATCTGTTAAGCCGTCCTGAGATCACACCAAATGTCCTTGACAGGATTTGTAAACAACCCTTATTTCTGGTTTCTAATTTTATTCCCAGAAGTAACCTAACTAGAATCCGTGAGTATTCATGCATTTCAAGCCCTGTGACATAATCGGATTTGATTTTCAAGAAAACAGGTGGAGAGGGTAGATTCAGAAAAGAGGAGAATCCCAAGAGAGAGACTTACGTGGAGAGCTGTGGGAATGAGGGGGTAGGAGACACCATCTAGAGATATATTAGTATACCATTGCTAACTGTAAAAAAAAGTTACCACAAACTTGGTAGCTAAAACCAAGAATGTGTTATCTTACAGTTCTGGAGGTCAGAAATTCTAAAATCAAGGTGTGGGCTGTGTCCCATCTGGAGTCTCTAGGGGAGAATCCATTTCTTTTCTTTTCTAGCTTCTATGCCACCTGCTTTCCTTGGCTTGTGGCCCCTTCCTCCATCTTTAAGGCCAATAGTATATCATCTTCAAATCTTTCTCTCTTCTTGGGATCTCTGCTTCAAGGTTGGGGGTGTCTTTTTCTGTAAGGTAGGCAAAGAAAATAGGAATTGATATAGATACATTTCTAGCCATATTATGTTACAAACTGAACTGATTTGGATTACTTGTGGAAAGAGATGACAGTGTTTTAATCACTAGTCAAATCGTCGTAGGGTTAACTTACTTGACTGTAACATTGCTGAAGTGGTGTGGTTAGTCCAGCTAAACCTATATCCCTCTGGTGACTCATGGAACTGAAACCCAAGGTGTTAACACACTAAGAAAACCAGGTTCACATCTGCAGTTTCTGGGGATCAGTCCCTTTCTCTGGAAATCCCCGGCAACTCTTTTTTATGGTGTCCAGTGGAGTCATATTGCCAAGTTTGAGAAATATGCATCTAGACCAGCATTTCCCAAACTGGTCCACCAGGGAACATCATCCTATAAGATGGGATGCTGGGAAGACGGTTGCTCCATGCTTGGATAAGGTCCATGGAACACAGTTGTGACTACAGTTCAGGCCAGCCAAGAAGCTTATCAGTGGGTCAGATCCATCAAGGGCAAAGTGTTGGGAAATTTTTTCATGAGGAAGTCTAAGGGAGAAACAAACATTTTCTCACAACAGATAGGTATGTGTGCTGGCAGGGATAAATTATGGACTTAGGACTAAAACTTGTAAGTTTCTTTATTACCTAGCCCTCCTAGCTTTCCTTCTTTTTCTCTACTTCTTTCCCCACTCTGTGCTTCACCCAGACTACTTACAGCTTCATTCTCTCTCAAACGGTGGCTCAGGACCACTTCTCATTCTCTTACCATGTAACCTTGAAATTGCCTGTTACTTTTAGAGCCACCCCCATCCTCCCCTAACCTTACCTCCACCTGCTTCGTAACGCCAGGGACTATGTTGTATTTATCACTGTATTCCCCATGCCTCATACAGGACCTGGCTCAGACTGGGAGCTCAATTAATATTAGTTGAAATAACAAACGAGTGAGTGACAATATAAATGGAACAAACTAATGTCACTTACTCACTTGTCATACTTGTCTTTGATCTTGTCTTTAATTAATAAACATTTAAAAAAAGCAATAAGCTATGGTATTGTGCTAGGTTCTGAGATTACAAAAATTAATATGACATTATCCTTCTATGAACTCATAGTTCATCTGAGGAAACATGCTAAAAAAGAAAATGAGGCAGGTAATACTAGTTGCTTATCCTGTTTCCTTCCTTCCCTTCTCTCTTAGTAACAGAAATCTGATTTTGTGCCTAGCGAAAAGTCTCATTTCACAACCTTCCTTGCAGATGGGGGTTACTAAGTATAGGCCATGATATGTGGATGGGAGGTGTTGTATGGGACTCCTTATTTGTGTATGTGGTAGTGGGGGGTGGGGGTGCTAGCAGGGCTGACTCAAGACTATTATCGCCTGGAATATAGTTGTGATAGATGGAGTCACAGCCACAATCTTGTGACATCAAGACTACCTGGAAGCCTGAAGTCATATGCTAAAATTTGTACAGATGGGGTCATTTAGAGTTACTCAGCCTATCTTACCAAGCCTTCATTTAGTCAGTTACTGATAAATTTGGAAGGAAAAGGGAAAAAGTCATCTCTTCTCTTCAGTAGACTTGTGGAAAGCAAGTAAATATGGTATTCTTTCTCATTCTTAATGAATATCTTGTATGCATACTGAAACAAGATAAAGATCTATAAATACTGTGATTTATTTGACAAACAAAAAAGGGCTTTTTAGAAACAGAGCACAGTTCTCATATCTGTAGGAATTTTTAGTGTCATGATAGTTTCTTCTTTAAAAAAAAAAAAAAAAAAAGATTACCTACCAAGTCATAAACTACTCCTTAAAAGACTCTCCAATAGTTTGATGGGGTCGGAGGGTGATGTGTTTTGTTAAACAATAAAGTGCAGTATGGAATGAAAATACAGCATAAACTGTAAATGGGAACTGCAACAGGCTCTACCAAAAGGAATACTTGCAAATATATTCAGAAACAGGATTTAAAATATGATTGGGTCCTCTTTCAGTAGAAGTTTTTTGAGAGGATAATCCCATGAAAATGAAAAAGTCTTGATTTTTTTATTATAGATTAGAAGAATGGATTTAATCAGCTGAGATTAATTATAGGGGACTCTTAAAGAGGCTATACTAGGATCAGTGTATTGGGGGAAAACGGTGAATGTGGTACCTGGTGTTATGAAGTTGCATTTTTGTAAATACGTGAAGTAAAATCTGGTCTGTTTGGCATTCTTCCAACCTGAATGCTATTCACCAATCTCCCTATACTTCTGCAGTACTATAATTGAGGCTTATAGTGATGACCCTGAAATGACTTCTGAATCCTAGCAGAAAGATTAAATTATCTTTTGCTTTGCCTACATATATTTAATTATATGTTTATTAATTGCAAGCTGGAAATTTTATCTGTTTTATAACACTGCTGGATTAACCAGAACATGCTTATCAGGGACCACAATAGCAGAATTTATAGTTCATGGGAGGAAAAAAAAAACCGAGAAGGTGATTAAAAATATTTTTTTAATTTAAAATTTAAATTTTTAAAAATTTAAAATAATTAAGAATAATTATTACAAAATAATTTAGAATCATCCAGCCACATTTTTAAGAATTGCAACAAATGTATTGGTTAATGATAAATGCTACATAGCTAATTTTTAAAATATGTATATTAATTCATGTTCTGTAGTAAGAAAAGTTAGAGTATGAATAAATAAGTCTTCATTTTGGATTTGATAGAATGTGGTCTGTTAGTGTCTGCAAGAGAGCAGATACTAGGTATAGGCCTAGGTATATTATAAATTAAGTTGGGTTGTATGTCCAAATTTGGTTTAGGGTCCTGTTAAGTTGCTCCTTGTTTCATTGTTGTTTTTTTTCCAGAGATGTATTACTCTGGTGACAATAAAGGACCTCTAATAAACATACGGAGTGAACATGTGTCTGAGATAGGGTTCCCTGGAA